TAAAACTCAACACCCAAAAAAGAAATAATCCAATTAAAAAATGGGCAGAGGATCTGAATAGACATTTTTCTAAAGACATTCAGATGACTAACAGATACATGAAAAAATGTTCATCATTTAGCATCAGGAAAATGCAAATCAAAAATACAATGATATATCACCTCACACCTGTCAAAATGGCTAAAATCAACAATTTAAGAAACAACAAGTATTGGAATGTAGAGAAAAAGGAACACTCATGCAGTGTTAGTGGGAATGTAAACTGGTAGAGCTACTGGGGAAAACAGTATGGAGGTTACTCTAAAAACAGAACTGCCCTATGATCCAACAATCATGATACTAGGTATTTACCCTAATTCAAAGGGATATATGCATCCCTATGTTTATAGCAGTCTTATTTACAATAGCCAAGATATGGAAACAGTCCAAGCGTCCTTCAACTGATGAGTAGATAAAAAATATGTGGTATGTATGTGTGTGTGTGTGTGTGTATATATATATATATATATATATATATATATATATATATATATAATGAAATATTATTCAGCCATAAAAAAGAATGAAAATCTTCCCATTTGCAATGACATGGAAGAAGCTAGAGAGTACAATGCTAAGGGAAGTAAGTCAGTCAGAGAAAAACAAATACCATATGATTTCACTCCTATGTGGAATTTAGGAAACAAAACAAATGAGCAAAGGGAGAAAAGGAGAGAGAAAAACCAAGAAACAGATTCTTAACTATAGAGAACAAACTGATGGTTACTAGAGATGAGGGGTTGGGGGGGATGGGTAAAATAGCTGAAGGGTATTAAAGAGTGCACTTGTCATGATAAGTGCCAAGTATTGTATGCAAGTGTTGATCGCTATGTTGTATACCTGAAACTGATATTGCACTGTATATTAACTATCTGGAATTAAAATAAAAACTTGAAAAAATAAGCCACTTAAGAGAAACTAAATTACTAGGTATTGTTTTTCAAATATACTGTGGGTTATTGTAGAAAATCTGGACAATAAAGGGGAGATATCAATAAAAATGGTAAGAAAAATACTATTCCTCCCCACAAGACTAGAGATTTATAGGAAAGCTGATGGACCATTTTTGATGACTAATCTGAAATGTTGCTGGTGCTTGCAAAAAATGTTTGATGGAAGGAGTAAAGTATCACCCAAAGACATGGTCAATTCAAAGTCTTACCAACACCAATTGTAGATATGGTGAAGTTTTAATTTACCACTTAAAACTGGAAAATCAAAACAAACCTGAAAGAACTGAATCAGACCCATGTTAGCTCAAAAATAATCAAGGTCCCAAATGTACTGAAGAGAAGCATTCACTATGTAAATCTTCCAGGAGCTTGATAAATCAGAATTGAGGCACTATTATTTTGTATCCTATAGCATCATCTATAGGATTCCCAACACTCTGAGCCTAATGTAGAAAATGGCATCTTGTTGGCTGGAAAGAGTCATCAACTGTCATCACCAACCCAACTAAAATGTGGGAATAAAATATACAGTAGAGTCCTCAACAATGAAACTGCTGCTCTGCTTGTCAGCTCAGGAATAAAAGGAAGCCTATTTTAATTTAGATTGGCATGTCCTTGTTCTTCAACTATTAGGTCCTCTTCATATCCTAAGACAACTTGTACTTTTTAAAATTTCCTTACTTATTTTTAAATGTTTATTTATTTATTTTGAGAAAGAGAGACAGAGAGAGATAAAAAGAGAGAGAGAGAGAGAGAGCATGCATGAGCCAGGGAGGGGCAGTGGGAGAGGGGGAGAGAATCTTAAACAGGCTCCATGCTCACTGTGAAGCCTGATGCAGGGCTCAATCCTACAACCCTGAGGTCATGACCTGAGTAAAAATCAAGAGTTGGGCATGCAACTGACTGAGCCACCAGGCGCCCCTAACTTGTAATTTTTTTAAACTGTGGGTCATGACTCATGATCCAGCATGAGTCCTGAAGTAAATTCAGTAGGTCTATAATCAGCATTTAAAAAGAACACAAAAATAGGAAGTAGAATAAAAATCAGAGAACACATGGTAATGAAACTTCTAATGTGTGTGTGTGTGTGTGTGTGTGTGTGTGTGTGTGTGTGTGTGTGAAAGAAAGAGAGAGAAAGGGGAAGTGTGCATATGTAGTTTGTGGGTTATAATATGTGAGGGGTTGAGGGATATAAAACGTCCCTTTGCCTCTAAATACCTTTTCCTCAGTTCCATCACAGTGCCTGGAATTCAACAATAAAAGATTTATTTCTCTACAGCACAAAGATTTGGGGGATTACAAAAGCAGCCAATTAAAGTACCTGGAAAGAATAAAATCTTATGTTTCATCAGCCAAGGCTGATGTGACTCCTCCATGAACACAAACCAAATGAATAGAACACAGTTAGATACTCCTATGGTAGCACAGTATGTTGAAAGAGTAGATGGCAAAACAACAAAGATCATCCTAGGAGTTCACATATTTAACCTGCAATCCTTCTGTTAGTACCATTGACGATTCCCACACAGGATACTTCAGTGGTTGGCCACCATAAAAATCAGTAAGAAAAATTGTGAATATACCCTTTTATGTATGGCTCTTCAGTTCAAATTAGCCAGTATATTCACAGACACCATGGGAAAAGGTCTTTCATAGGGCCTTTAATTTTCACACCAGTTATAAATTTCATGAGCATTCATAGTCAGTCCTTCAAAGAAGTGGAAAGAATCTAAAGAAACATTTAGACCAATGATCCCTTAAGCCTCATTATACATCAGAATCACTGGGGATGTTTAAAAAATATATACGTACCTAGATCATATCCCCAGAGACTGAGTTCCAATTGGTTTAGGGAAGGGGCCCAGGCATTTTTTAATAAACCTCCTGAGTTCATTCTCCTGCAGAATTGAGTTTAAGAACTAATCAAGTCCTACCACCCATATGATTCTTTAAAAAAAATTTTTTTTAATGTTTATTTATTTTTGAGAGAGAGAGAGACAGAGTGTGAGCTGGGAGGGTCAGAGAGAGAGGGAGACACAGAATCCGAGGCAGGCTCCAGGCTCTGTCAGCACAGAGCCCAACATGGGGCTTGAACTCATGAACCATGAGATCATGACCTGAGCCGAAGTTGGGTGCCTGACTGAGCCACCCAGGTGCCCACACTCATATGACTCTTGAATCCACTTCATTATATTCTGAATAAATGTTTTGTTCTATTACTAAATAGCTATAATTACAATTATCTTCTTACTTAAATTGAGCAGCAATCTGTCTCCCTTTAGAATCAACCCATTAGTCATTTTTTTTCTACTTTGTCCTTTTCCCAGTACCCTCAACCCATATGTGTAGATGACAGGTCAACCTCCTCTATGATATGTCAGTTCTCAGTAACAGCACACACAAGCAAACACATCACAAAACACAGAACATAGTAACAGTAACACTTACTAAATGTTGGTGACCAATAATATTATTGTTGTTGTTATCATTATCACAATTAGGGAACAAAGCAAAGGTAACTATTAGTAGCAAAATTAGCAAAGCAATTTTGCTAAAACAAATGTCTAGAACATACTGCTTCACAAAATTGTATGGTAAATGGTATGAAATGATAATCTGGAAAGAGGCAAAATGTTTGTTTTTGTGATTCCCTTACTTTTCACTTCCTACAGTGCCTTATAAAGAAGAAAGTAACAAGTGCAAGAAAAGTGTCACAGGTATGTTCAGGTGAGTCTTGGTAACAAGGCCTCTTTGTTCATATTTAAGACAATAGCATTTGACATTCAAAAGCTCTCCCACAAAGTTAAAAATAAGTCTCTAGTAATACCTCTTCTTAAAAGAAGTTTGAATAAGAATACGTAATTTTGTCCTCACAGAAGAAACAAAAAGGAAAAGGTAAATTGGAAAACAATAACTTCTGGGAATATATTTTTACTTCTGTGTCTATACCACTGGTTAGCCTTAACCCTTCTGTAACTCATTTTATCCACCATAAAGCCATAGAACTTCACTGTACTTTAAGAGATGTCTACTAGGATTAATACAATATGCTCTCAGGCTTGGTATCATGTCTCAACTCCTGTGAACCCTCTATAAAGGATTACTATTTATCCTGTAGATCATGTTGCACTGAATTATAATGAGGTAAGCCAGATTTATCTGAGCTCTAAAATAAACAATAATAAAAATGACGATAGCACAGCCAGTTTTTTTCTTGCTGTTACTTAGGAAGTACCAGTGAAATACTTAAATCTTGCATTGTCTTCTGTATTTTTGCCAAGATCAGTAAATTAAACAACATTTTAGGAATTACCTAAGCCTTATGTTGTCTAATTTAATCATGTATGTCATGATTAATTGGGAAATTCACCTGTAACTGTTAACTGTCTTGCTTAATACTATAGACAAAAAATGAAACAGCATAATCTAACAAACCTGAGTTCCAGAGGATTGCTAACTTCCCATCATTACTTTGCAGAGCTGAAAAATCATACCTTCAACTAAGGAAGTAAGGAGGGTAACATTGGCTGCTTTCCGTCTTCCTGCTGGTAAATTCAGGCCAAGCCTATCCAGTTTCTCTCTCAGGCAGCGACCCCCATTCTTCGATTTTGCTCTGTCCAGAAACAAATAAAAACTAAGTTTTGAAAGTTCACATTCTGAGGGAAATGATAAGGCGATTTGACCAGATGGGGAATTCAACATGAGATAGGAGGTCTACGGACTGAGGGTTGAGGAATATGGTATCAGTACAGCCAGAAAACAATGTCTTACCTTCTCAAAATGCCTCCCAACAGTGAAGCATTGAGGCATTCGGGTGGTGAGAGGCGCCTCTTCACCTCAGCAATGGTCACCTTGTATTTGGAAGTTGAACTGAGAAGGGACAAACGGCCAGGGACAGAGCAAAACAAGTCTGTGGGGTTGACCACACAGGTGCCACCTTGGGGGGGGGGGAAGTATATCACATATTAGTGACAGTGAGAGGAGATCATTGAAAGACAGTTAATATCAAGCCACTACTTGGGATTTGGGAATACATGGCAACAATTGCTCCCATACATACACCACCAGGATCATCTCAGAAAGCTGCTCTGAAGATGTCCTTTCAAATAACAAGGCTTCATTTTTCAAATATCATACAGTACATGTTTGTGGGGGCACTATTTTTTTATTTTAACAAAAACCAGCATTCTATAGAGTGTTGACTGGCCCACCAGTGCTAATGTTGACATCATACACACCAAGAAACACTTCAATTAATAAAAAAACCCCAAATCCATCAGTGAACCCCACAGAGGGTATGTATTTTTTCCATGGCTCTGTGTATGTGTGTGCATAGATGTGCACATACAATGGATGGATATATTTTGTCTGTGACTTGTTATATAGACAAAAGTTTGAAAGCTCTTTTCTAAATTATTTGAAAACTTCCTTCTCTTTTCCCTCATCCACCTGCCAACTATAGGTACTTGAGTCACTCAGTTCCCAGGTACCACCAAAAATAATTTTCCTATTGTCATAAACTTTCAACTCATGTCGGGGGATGATAGGTCACAGCTCTCTACCATATGTCAGCTGTCAGGATTGGCACACACAGTCAAATACAGTGCAAGACTTAGAACATAGTAACAGTCACATTAAATGTTGGTGGCCAATAATATTGTTTTGGTTGTTGTTATCATTATTACTATTAGAGAACACAGCAAAGATAACTGCTAATGGCAAAATCACCAAAGCAATCTTGCCATGCTGGGCCTCCCGGGGCAGAAGACTTTGTCTCCAAGCTCCAGAAAGATCCTTGAACTTTGCTCTCCTCCAGGACACCAGAGTACATTCCCCAACCCCAGGTACCTGAAGTAGACTTGAAGACCCAAGATGGTCATCGCTGAGGAGAGTTTCCCTCTGCCCAATCCTCCCTTACTGCAAAAATCCTGAGCTAATATCCATATTACTAACACTGTGCTAAATAGCCTTGGGGTCCAAGGCTGCCTCCTTGTGCTTTGAGCAATCTGAGGACATAGTTTTTAAGGTTCACTGGCAAATTCAAATTCAAGGTTTGCTTTCCTGAGCATACATTTGATTTCTTCAGCTATGGGAGATCTTAAGACTCATCTCCCCAAAAGTCAAGTTCTATGAGAGAAAAGAGGAAGAAGTAGGTGGAAGAAGACAAACAGGCAGGGGAGCGTTATCCAAAATCTTTCTACTTGAAGGATGTTCCTCAACTGGCAGCACTGGCATCTCCTAGGGGCTTGTTAGAAATGCACACTCTCAGGCCCAACTCCAGACCTTCTGAGTCAGAATCTGTATTTTAACAAGATCCCCAGGTGGTTAACGTGCATGTTAAGGTTTGAGAAGACCTGGTCCAGGACTCACCACTTGCCTCCTACATAGGTCCTCACCTCCTTTACTCAGCTGCTCAGGTGAAATGCTGTGTTACTAGAGTCTCTGGCATTCAGATTTGGGTGTGTTCTCTGAGCACAGTGGCTAAGGAACCTGGGAGGATGTTTAAAAAGGCAAAGGGGTCCTGGACCTGGGTGCAGAGAACAAGTTAACTTTACCCTACTCTTAAAGTGTTTCTACCCTTGTACTACCTGGAATTCTTCCAGGTTGTCTTATTGTCATCCAAGCTTCCCCTGAGAGTACTGGGATCCATGTCTTTTTCCTTAAGCATTCTGAGGCTGGTGATCATTCTTAATGACCCCTCAAACAGAAGACAGGATATTGAGAATATTAAAGTAGCCAGACCTCTCCAGACTGGGAAATGAGTCCTGTATGCTTGGCTAAATTTCCAATGCTAGTGCCTGGAAGCTGGTCCTTAGTTTGAAATCTGAGAGGTCACAGTCTTAACTGTCAAATTGAAATCCTTTTCCTGGAGGCACCTGGGTGACTCAGTCAATTAAGCATCCAACTCTTGATTTCTGCTCAAGTCAGGATCTCATGGTTGTGACATTGAGCCCCATGTCGGGCTCCACTCTGATAGCTCGGAACCTGCTTGGGATTCTTTCTCTCCCTCTCTCTCTCTCTCTCTCTCTCTCTCTCTCTGCCCCTCCCCATAGCATGCTCTCTCTCTCTCAAAATGCATACATACATATATACACACAAAGTCCTTTTCCTGGCATTAACCTTGTGGTCAACATATTGGAAATCATGCAATGTTTGTCTCAGGAGCTCGAAACACAAACTCACCTGTGCTTCCCCACTTTGCATTGTCATAGAGAATTTTATTTTATTTATTTTTTAAATATTTCATTTTTAAGTAGTCTCTACACCCAACGCAGGGCTCGAACTCATAACCCTGAGATAAAAAGTTGATTGCTCTGCTGACTGAGCCAGCCAGCTGCCCCTGTCATAGAGAATTTTTAAAACTAATCATCATCATCATCATTATCCCCAGATTTGGGGTCCCAAAACTACCATCATCCTTTCATTGATGCTCTCTCCTTTTATACCTATAGATGCAAAATGCATTTTACAAACAAACTCTTAAGTGACTTCTCAAATGTTGAGATGAACAGGATATCAATGAAGCTGGCTTTTAGCATCATACTGTGAGAATCAGGATCCCCAAAAGTTAAGAATTTAGGCCATTATGAGGTCATCCAAAGCAAAAAATATTAAGAAATCATAATATCTACATTCAAAATTCACAGAGCTCTCTCCCAAAAATAGGCCTCCACCCATGGTCATGGAATCATAAGTAAATTTACATTCTTACATAAACCCCCTCCTATTGTAAAATAGCCAATACACAACTGAGGACACAAGGAATCTCACCCAATAGGTCTCAAGTCAATTATGAGAGAAGAGTGTTTGTGCATGTGTTACTTTCCCAGCTGGTCAAGGGAAAAGAAGGACAAAATTTTAGACCTTTCCTATCTTTACTAGTCTACAGTGGGTTAGAAACCTATTTTAGGGAGATGCAGAAGACTCTAAAAGATTGTTTTTTTTAAAAAAAAGTTAAATCAGGCTTTCTCCACTTGGAAAATCACCCCCTTTTAGCAAAATGAACCCCATGCACTGAAAGCCAGCTGCTCCCAGAGAAGTCACTAGATCTGCTATGTGGCCAAGTGCTATCTTCCTGGGCTCTGGGTCTTTCTCTCCTGCATCCAGCCCAGGTTGGGCTTCTGGCTTATGCTCAAATAAGCATTTATTAGGTAAGTTACACAGCCTGAATATTAAGAGTATTCTTTATGCACACACAAACTGCCTGGAGGATTTATTTTGTATTCAGGATTAGCCATCAACTCTAGAGTCTTTTATTTTTTATGTCACAGCATCTTTAAAGGGAATTTCTGTTGCTTTGATAGTTGGCATTGCTGCAGCCTTGGGGAACTCTCTCGTCCTGGCTAAAGATTTGGCAACTTGTAGAGTTTACAGCAGCATGGGGAACCTGCTATCTTTCTTCCCAGTGGTTTATTTGGGGAGGGGGGAGGAAGAAAAGGGTGATAGGTCAACATAACAGATGTTTGCATTTAGAATGAAGAACCAAGGAGGTGGGGTTTCATTCTGGAGATCCAGACTACAGATAGCAATGATGAGATTTCAGAGGAAAGACATGAGAGTCAACCATACCAAGCCATTTACAGTATTCATCCCCAGTATTACCAGTTGAAGTTCCTCATGGTGCCTGTGTTGCATGTCAGCTCTTATTGAAATGATGTAACATTCATTCTAGATCCAGCACTCCAGTTAGAGGTGTCTCTGGTGCCACAACCAAGGTATTCATGCAGAACTTCTCTAGAGTACATCTCTTTTCCATTCATAGTGCACAGAAGCAATACTTCCATGGAGGGCACTATTTTTAAAATTGAAATTTGGAGATGGGGCTTCCTATTTCCAGTGATGCTCAAACTCAGATCTGTAGCTATAGAAACAGCATAAGAAATCAGGGACTATCTATTTAAGGTCACTTGTCTAGAACATGACTATCATAAAAGGGATAACTTTGCCACAGCTACAGGGAAGTCAGCCAAAGAATTACTGTGCTGGGGACAAAACCAGGCATGAGACACACAGACACAGATTCTTCGGCTGCCAGACCTTGTTAGATCCCATGAGGCAAGAAGAAAAACGGGGTTGGGCTGCGCCATTCCTGGTATGCCTGGAGACTTCTGGCCCTGTGTGTGCAAGCACCGCGTGGGGGGAGTGGAAAAAGTACAGGGCTGCAAGTAAGAGGTTGGCCAACTAGCGACCCATGCAACCTTAGATGAGTAACAACTCTGGGCCTTGATCTGTCCATCTGAAAAATGGGGATGTTCACGCCTGCTCAACTTATTTCCCCGGCTCGTCAGGAGGTGCAACAGGAAATGGATGCACATGTGCTCCGCAACCTAAGTAAAGCCCACCCAACTCCACCACTGTGTCAAACAACTACCGCGTCTCAGGGCGCTACCTGTGCAGCGCAACAAGACCCCCACCCACCTTTTGCCGGGCTATCGGAGAGAAAGGCTGAGGTCTGAATGCGCTTTTTCCCTTCTCATCCAAGGCAATTAGGGCAGAGGAAACAGGCTCGGCAGTCTCCAAGGAACTGTGGCTCTCCTGGCGCCCCCAAAGCTGCCTCTAAGCCATGCGCCCCCTCTGGGTGCCTTCCTCTCTAAGAACAGAGCTGCTGATGGCTAGAGGCCCTGTGCGCTCTCCAGGTGCGATCAATACTTCCTGGCTGGCTTCTGGGCGCGGGGCCCCTGCGCTCAGCCTCTCCAAAGCCGCAGCGCCGCCCCACTCCCTGCCGCTTCGGTGTTGACATAATTAGACCAAATCTTGAGAGCAAAATAAATGTTCTGTTCGCCTTACAGCCAAACAGATGTTTACAATTCAAATGAAAGAAATACAAACGGCAGGGATTTTTTTTCTCCCCTTCTTCATCTCCAGTGATCGCTCGTTTTTTCTGACACATTAAAAATGTGTAAGCGATTATAGGAGTTTCCTGTCCCTGTTTGTTCT